AAAATGTATGTTAAACCCCCATAGACAACTGTTGCTCATAATTTGATTCATCTTCAAATTCATAACACTTTCCCTGCAGAAATTATTTTGAAAATGTTGTTCTCTGTTTTTCCTTGACACTACATTGGGAACATTTTCCAGTTTTACAAAAATTTGACTTAGGAAAGTTGTATGAAATTCCACTGTTAGGGTTATCATGTTTACTGTCCCATTCTCCCAGTTGGGTATTTAAGCCTTCATTTCATGTGATTGTAGCACTGTTGTCATCAATGTGATTTGAAAACTCTCTAATGATTTGAGAGATAAAAATGGCATGCCAGTTTAACAGAGGTTTGTGGTCCTCATGGTGACCACTCTGCAGACTCTATGAGGGGCATGTTCCCCTCTTCAGATCCAACTTGACCATCACCTCTTAGTTTTTGTGTGAACAGTTTACCCTTGTGCCCTTACGCATGCAGATAGCAGAGCCACTGAGAAAGCACTCATGCAAGGACTAGAAGGAGGCAATGCTATATGATCTGTTTTCATGTTTCTTTTCCAGGCATATTCACTTCTGTGTTTTGTTCCGTTATTTTAAATGTTGTGACTTATATGCATATACTTCTTACAAATAGTTCTTCCATTTTGTCTTTTGCCTTTTAAATTCGTACATATAGATATCTCAAAAGTTCTAAATTAGATGTGAAGTCTTAAGATATTTCTTCTAAAGTTGTTTTATATTGAACATCCTACTTTCTAAAATGAGACATCCTCTCACTTTATTTCCTATAGGTTAATTACTTCTCTTCAGTTCTTACTCTTTTCTCTCTGGGTGATTGTCTCAGGTAGGGAAACAGATAGTTCAGACTTAATTATTGTATTATGGAAATGTGTAAAAATTAGTGGCTTATTAGTACATATTTATGCTTTTTATATTAATGTAAGTATTAATGTAAGATAGGTTCATTAGATTGACTTACAGATGTGTCTGAGTAGTCCAGCAATAGTTGTTTCACACTGACTCCCTCGTACTGGAATTAAAGGTGTGAGCCACCACTGCCTGGCCTCTGGCTAACTAGTGGCTAGCTCCACATTCTGATCTTCAGGCAAGCTTTATTTGTGAAAGCACAAACAAAACATCACTACAGTGCTTCCTGTTAAGATACTGACTATGCTGAGCATTCGGACTTAGTAAGATTGTGTACACAGCTTTAGAGAATTCAGAGGTCATCAAGATACAGATTCCTGTGACAAGAGGAGACTACAGGAGCTGAAAGTGAATTCTTTTGAAGGGTTTTTTCCTTTCCAGATCTTGTGCATATATCATAGTACCTTATTTTTTGTGGCTGTGATCCTAAAAATAGGTGGGTTTTTCATTCCCTCTGTCCCTGATATTAATTGCTTGCTATGTTTCTAGGTCAGGTTGTACTCTGTAAGCATTTATCATGACATGTGAGTCACTGGAAGCAGTATTGTCCTTTCTTGATGGTGATTATTTAGAAACTTGAACAAGCATTGTACTATCTTCATTAGGAGTCCATACTACCTTTTTCCTGTTCTATATTTCTAGTGATTCCTAAGAAGTAAGCAATGCAAGGGACTGCCGCCCATGTCACAGCCTAACTGTGGAGCATGACTGTCTAGTTTGTGGGGCCTGTTGAAAAATTACAAATGACCACAACAGGGCATTAGAAGTCCAGGCCTTCAGGACTCCACAGGCTGTGTAGTCCTCATGTCTCCAGGCCCAGGTGAGGCTGAAGACAAGCCGTCCTCTGAGACCCATTCTGCTGCTTGGCTGTTGCTCCAGATTAGCCTCAGGCTTTTATCTGCCCTTGCTGGTGATTTGAACTTTTTGAAGTATATTTGTTGTCAAGGAAATGTGTTTAAGTTAGATTGTCTAGATAGTAAAATATTTTGTAAGGAAATTATGGAAATAGAATCTATTGTGTAAAACAAGTAATTTGGGAAACAGAGGTGCAAAAAATGTAAATGATAGGTTTTCTAATGTTCCCTTGGTGTATTTACTTGTGCACACCAAGATCTTTGATCTCTGGGATATGGAGCTTAGAGCCTCTTCTTGGATTGTAAACTTCTAAATTGTCTGTGATCCTACTTTCTCTACTCCCAATAAAGTATCTGGCTCTTTCTGGCTCTTTGGTCTTTTCTGGCTTAATTTTCTTGAGTACACAGCCCAGTGACTTCCTTCCCATCTTACACTCTGTGTGTCAGGACAAGAGACCATTTTCTCATTGCTCATGCTTTCCCTCTGTAGAATTGGTCCACATTGTTGCTTTGAGTCAGCCTCTCACCTAGGACTGTCACACTTCTCTTGTCACTTCTTGCTACTTAGAAATATTCCAATCAATTGCTTAATTGCCCCTTAGGTTTTGAATAGCAGCTTTTCATACACCACTCAGCATCTCCCCTCCACCCTTACTCCCATGCCATCCTGCAATACTTCCTGGTCTCCTTGGCCATCACGTCACTTGTCACAGCTTCTTTCAGTCTTGCTTTTTCCTATTTCACAGGAAAAGCTGTCCCACTTCTTTCCAAAATGAACTTTCGAATTTCTAAATATATCTCCTCCTGCCTGCTCTGAGACCTTTATTTAGCCATTTGTCTCTTGTCTCTTTCATCGTCTCAAATCTGCTTCCCTATCAACTCCTCTTCTACTTACAAATTCGTCTATGCTTTCCATGTCAAAATTATTTTAGAAGCAAAAACCCAGATTCTGTGTCAAGTAAGTTTTGTATTAATTTTTTTATTGAAAGCTATAAAAACCACAGCCTACCACAGTCTAACAAGCCATTTCATCCTGTTGAAGAGCTCAGAGGTACATCTTAGTTCAAGTGTGCTTTGATGCAGGCCCATTGATGTCCATCATGGGACAGGATGTGTCTAGACAGCATATGCCAAGACAGCCCATCTCTTGTCCTATTTTGATTCTTCTCAGTCAGCTTCCTTCTAAGTCAGCTCTCCACCCTGGCTTTCCTTCCTGGTCCTGTGTCTGAGGTCTCTTTTCTGCTCCTAAGAATCTCATTGCATCTTCTTGGGGTTGGTGTGTCATGAAATCACCCCTAAGTCAGTGGAAGCCACATGAAGAGGATTCTTGATAGCCAGGTGTCACTTCTCTTACCATCTTGATTTATTGCCATCAGGAATATAAGAGTTTCCTAAGCAAGAACAGAGTAGGACTTAGAGAACCCCCTCCAAAATTATCCATGTATTTTTTCTAATCTGAGGGAGTTGTCTAGAAAATAAATTATGCTCAGGTGGACTGAAGTGATAGGAGATTGGTACAAAACCATGGAAAGTAAAACTGAGACTTAGGGAAATGTCAGCTGCAACCCGTAAGCATAGCAGTTTTAAAAAGCAAGCCCAGGCTCTGCTGAACTAACCAATGGTAAAGTTTTAGAGTCTCAGTACATAGCATTATTCTCTTTAACCTGCAGTTGACGTTGCCAATATCAGGAACAATCCTGCTGCATAGGTATGCATCTTTTAATGTAGGCCCAGTTAATAGGACAGATGGAGAGACCACTTGATAATTCAAAAGACTACAGTAGGTTTTACTGACACTGTCGTTATTCTGTCAACCAGATGTAGAGAGTGAAGGCTGTTCTTATTCTCTCTAGTAGAGCCTCACCTGTGTCATTTCAACCTATGTAACATAAATGACCAGGAGAGAACATTCCTGCCTGATAGTGTTTGGAACCCTGTCTCTCCATGTTCCACCATCTCTTACTGAACTTAGGTACTTGAGTTTCTTCTCTTTGGGGGATTTGAAAAATAATAAAGGTGTCTAAAAATAATTAACTAGGAAGCAAAAAAATGTAGAAAAACCATGCATGCCCGGGGGATATTTATGTCAGAACATAACAAGGGATGAGGAATACCAAATGTTTTCTCTCCTTACGAGGCAGTACCAACTGGATTTATTTGATCATTAGGACCTAATGATCATACCATTGTGTTATTGATTGCCCTTTGGTAGTATCTGTGGCCTAGTCAATACTGGTTAATACCACCTGGCGATAGCTTTGAGTTCATTGTGTGAGAGGCACTTGCTGTTGCTGCTCCTATGTGTTTCTGTGTTACCCTGTTGGCTTCTCAGGTGGAGTCTTGAGTCTGGTTCCCTTTACTGAGCATCTCTCTTTAGGCAACCCTGGTGATTCCTGCCTCAGTCTGTTCTAATCTTTCCCTCTTTCTATGTGCATTAGAAAAATCAATTACTAATCAACCTGTCCTCCCCACATTCTTTACATTTCACCTTTTCTATGTTATGTTTATTTCTGAAGCAGAAATGAACCCTGGTCATAGCTGAAATGTGTCATTAGTATGTTGTTAATAAGCCCCAGAAGGATATGACTTTTTATTTCCAAAGAGCATTGTTTTTGACAAAACAGATCTCAGCATGCAGAAACCATTGCATGTAATGAAATGCCAGGCTGTAGTAGAGGTCTAGGAAGAGGAAAGGTGAGGGTAGATTGCAGGGAGCAGGCATGTATACAGGTGAATGCTGAAGTTTTGAAGGACTGGACTGTTGGGGCCCACCAGAGTCACGGCTGCATGGGAAATGTGGCTAATACAGTAGCAGATGGCTCGGGGCGAGGCTGACACAGCTGCTAACAGTGGAATTCCATTTTCTGCTTTCTCCTTTTGTCGAAGACTCTCAGGTGGATGGTCCGTTTTCCCCATCACAAGTTTGTTTCGTGTTTAATCCGTCACATAACTGGATCACAGTTTGTCTCTGTGCTTCTGGGCTTTCCCTGTATTCTGTTTCTTCTGCTCAGTGTGGGCCTCAGACTTTATCCACACAGTTGCAGATGTAAGTAATTCATTCTTATGTGCTGGTTAGTAGTGCTACATTGCCAATTGTGTTTATGTTTCTTAATGGACAAGATACTTGTACATGAAAGATATCTGCGTAGGGCTTTTGTGGAGTCTTGTTGGCCATCCATCTACTCTGAGGAAGGGCAGGAGAGGAGTAGACAATAATTAAACTACCTTAATTGTTTCAGAGTGCATTGAGAATGGATATGCAAAGTTCATGGTGATAAATTTAAACAATAACAGAGAACATCTACCTCTTATTGGAAAAGTTGGACTTACATGGAGAACAACTATTTTTGATGGCTTCATTGAGGTAAAAACAAAAGTTTTTTTTTTTTATTCAAGGAGCTTTATGTTGATGTGTATGTATAACTCTCCCTTAAAAGACAATAGGTCTGATAGGTCTGGTGTAGGCATTTGAAACCTCAAAGCCCACCCCCAGTTCATGTTTCCTCCAACAAGGCCACACCTCCTAATCCTTCCCAACCAGTTTTCTTAACTGGGGACCAAGCATTCAAACATGAGCCTATGGGAGCCATTCTCATGTAAACACCACAAGTAACTTGGCTGTCTATGGAGTGTATTGGAGAAGAATGGGTAGGTAGACTTTAGCTATGTTTGGATAGCTCTGACTGTACCCTCTGTTCCCTCAGACACTCAGTCAGTCTCTCCAATGGAGAGAGGGGAGAGCCGAAGGTTAGCCAGGCAATAGCATTTGCTGGAAACATTTTTACCTATTTGAAGGCTGCACAGTTACAAGTTCCTGTTCCAATTTCCAGGATCTTGAGCAGCTAAACAGAAGTAGCCAAATGATGGGGGAGAGTTGGTTTAGTTGGGGATTGTCAGGGAGGGAGGGGAGAGATTTCTCATGGTTCCATTCTCCTGTGTGACTTTGTACCCATAGTAACCCCAGGCTCTCTTTACTGCGTGGCATGAGCGGAACCCGGGAGTCACAGGTTGGTTGTAACTGCAGACAGCCTCTGCACTGTGCTCATTGTGCCCTTTGGTGTGGACATCTGGGCAGGACTGTAGTGACAGTGACCCAAGACTAAGGGCTCAGTTGCTGTGGAGCCTGATTTACCCTGCTTATCTGTGAGCAAATCCTAACCCTTGGTAAAAATTGCTTATGTCACATATAAAGGATTATTGTTTCATATCTTTGAGTACAGATGTGAACTTTTGTTTTTCTGTGATAGACTGAAATGGCCATGACATAAAAACATTTATTAAAAAAATTAATGTTAAAAATAGACCTTGAGGACCAAGAAAGGCAGAATATAAATATGGTATGCTTAAAGGGTCAGGGTAATTTTAAAGTTATTTAATTCTATTTTCTCTTCACAGCAAGATCAAAGCAGGTGTTTAGTTCTCTGTGGTTAGAAATGGAAGCATAGTAATTATACCATGGGACAAAGCTTTATCTTAGCTCTAGTATTGAAAACAAAGTTTCCCCTGGAACTGCTTGTAAGGAGGACTCAATCCTAGCCCTGAGTCCTTTAGCAACAAGTATGCTGGGGACTTCCACAGCATTTCTCACAGAGGCTGCACTACCAGCTGCAGAACCTGACCCTCCAGCAAGCTCCAGGCATTGTTTCTGTGGGTCGCTCCATCTAAAGGATGATTCTGTGTCTTTGAAGTAGTGGTGGCCCTGGAAGTTTCTCCAGTAATACATGTTCTCTCAGGAAAGAGTTTGTTGTCTCTTCTGAGTTAGAGGTTGGGTGGGTCTGCATATGCCACTTAGTATAGAACCAGTGTTATGTATTATGGCAAAGTTATGCTTGTAACTCCCAAAGAAAATACCCAAGGGAGGGATATCATGTTCCATGTGTTTGCCATATAGCTCAGGATTTCCCTCTAGGAATCTGATCACCCTAAGCATAGTGAACAGTAAGAATGCAATTTAAGAAATTAGCTTTTGGGGATTTATCCTCTTTGTTTTGTTTAAAGGAAGGACATTAAGTAGAAAAAGGCTCTAGATGGATATACTTGTCCATGTCTTTATCTCTCACACTGGAGAAACTAAAGCAGGAGAATAACAACAATATAAGGCTAGCCTGGGCTACAGAGTAAGGCTCTGTCTGGAAAAATAAGATAATTCTTAGTCATATATGGCTATTAAAAATGGAAATGAAAGATAATCTCTTTAACCCAGGAATTATAGACATAGCCTTCTAATGTATAAGATGACAAGGCATGAAGGAAAAGCCAAAAGAAGACACAGGAAAAGGATTGCCAAAAGAAATCCATGAATAAGAGATTCTGATATGAATAGGGACAGATTAGGGAATATGTCATTGTGACTTATACTGAACACACAGTAAGGCTACTTGACACAGACCTGGCTGTTCACACCACTGCACAAGAAACATAGTTATTGACCCTAGAGCACTGTCCTGTGTGGGTCACATGGCAAGCATCTGTAACATGTTTCTACCACATAAAAAGGATAGCTGGTCTATGACCTATGAGTTGAACTTCCACCACAGAGCTCCTGGCCTGGCTTGGGATGCTCTGCACTGCACCATGACCAAGCCAACAAGTGTTAACTCCCTGCCCTCCTGAACTCTAGGAGACCAGTGCTTTCTCATGGGAACTGTGAAGCCCAGACCATCAGAGGCCTCTGTCAATCAGCATAACAAAGCATTGCTTTGTTCTTTTAGCAAAACCAGATTTGGGTGACATACATTATCAGCATTTACCCAGAGGAGCATTTTACACACGAGAAGGATGTGTCTACAGTTCTCAAACAAAAGAGATTCTTTTATTTCTAAGCCGTTTGTGACTACAAATTACTTTTTTTTTTCCAAACAGAGCCTTATTCTGTATCCCAGGCTTAAAAATCTACATAGAGCGTGGCATAGTTTGAATTTCATCCAAATCAGGCAGGATTAGTGGTGGGCTGCAGGACATGGTAGGGGGCAAGAAGAACTAGGGTGGCATCAGACTTCAGACAACCAATGGTCAGTGACGGCGCTCCAGTGCCCAAGTTGCAGTTCCCGTACAGTTTTTCTGGCATAGTTTCCACTGGAAACTATGGTTTGAATAAATTACACCAAACTTGATTGATCCTTGGGTCATCCAAGTTGTTGAGCAAGAACTTGGATATTTAATTCTTGAACCTGAAAGAGGTTCAGCCTGGTGGTACACTTTGGAAGTCACAGACACCTTGGTTAATATGAGTTGTGGATGTAGACAAATTCCATCTAGGGAGAAAATGATTATACATAATAAAACCAGTCAAGCTGTGAGGACCACTGTTAGTGCCTTGTAGAAGCTATGGGTGGTTCTGGAAAGGTAGTATTTGAAGCAAAGAATGCCACGCAGTGCTGAGTCTGCCCAGATGGAGACTTAGCAGATGTTCACTGTGTTTAGAGACCTTAGGAAGTGGTGGGGTCAGAGTGGGTTGAAGTGTGAGCAGGATGTAAGTCTTCTAACAAAGGGAAGATAGGTTTGCCTGTAGAGAGAAGAGAGAGCAAGGGACACCGGGACTCTGGGAGGTTTATTTCTCTCTGTTCCCACCTCCTCCCTCCCTTGAACAAGTCTGATTTAAAAGCTGGTGGAAAAGAGGCAGTATTCACTGTGTCAGAGGCTACCTCCTTGTTGGTGTGCCATACTAAAACCCACTCGATAAAAGCACACTTAGCATAGATGTAAGTAAGGATCTGGCGGGGACGTAGTTGTGTATCTGCTGTTGCAGATAGGAAGGTGTTCTGACATCTCCCTTGCAAGAGTACATGATGTGCAAGGGTACCCCGTGAATAGGGCACAGAGGGTCATAGGAGAGGATGAGGTATGCCAGTTCAGGGCAGAGAGAGTATCCCATAATGCACAGGAGACTCAAAAAACTGTGAGCATGGCTGTGGCTACCTGGGGATAGCTCCATCTGTGACTCTGCTGCTGTGCTGGGTGGTCAGATTCAGACACACATGAGACACCAACTCAGACACAGCTCGGTTTTAGCAGATCTGGAGCCAGGTGAGATAAAGTGTTGATGAAGAGGCCAGTCAGTGCAGAACACTGAAATGGAAGTGGCTGACATGAGGCCTGAGGAGAGCTAGAGGGCTGGTAGGTTAGGGGTCATGGGCCATGATGCCCCCCAAATCTTTTCACATACCCAAACACATATGTGACCACACACACTCCTGTCATCTAAGCAGAATTTACCACTAAGATAGTGCTGTTTGTAATTTTCTTCTTTTAACACTTAGTTGTGCCTCACAACATGCAGTTCAGGATGCACCAGAAGTGATGGCTTACAGTGGTAAAATTCTGGTGGGCTGGAACCAGGAGTAACTGAGTAAGTAGGAAGGTGAAGAGACAAGTTAGACACAGGGCCCACACTGTTGACTCTGGAAGTGCCGCATTCACAGGAGGTGGAGCTGGGGATGAATGAGTGAAGTTGAAGAGTAGATTGTAGGAGTGGGATAGCCCAGGACTGAGAGCCTGTCATTGGGTCTGCTAGCAATTGGGGTTCCTCAGGAGATGGCGAGACTTGGAGGAGAGAATGAGAGGGAGACACAGGGAGGGGGATGATGAGCCTAGTGCAGAAGCAGTGTGAACAAGAGGATGCTGGACAGCCAAGAGAGGACACAGGAGGCCAGTGTGGGAGAGCTGCGAGTTTGGAGCCTCGAGGAAGCGGGTGACAAGAATGGAAGGTGACAGTCTGCTAGAGCATTGAGAAGCTGCTGTCCAGGGCAGAGTGCCACCCTCATGTGAAAGATGGCGCAGACCCCTCTTTTGTGGAAGAGCTGTTGCCTCTAGACAGGCTGCAGCACTGTCGGCTCCTTGTGCACACATGGGTGAGCACGGCTGCTGAGGAAGTCTGGTAAGCACTAACTAACTGGGTTTCAGATAAAAAGTGGGTCCAGTGATGTGCATGAGAGGACTCTGATGCCACCAGCAGCCTAGCTTTCTAGTCAGTTCTACAGAGTCACAATTCCCGTGGAAATGAGCCTGTTATCCCGACACTTGTGAATCTTAATTGCAGAGTTGCTCTTTCATGGACCTGACCCTTCTGGAAGAGTACAGGAAGCCCTTTTGGTGTGTGAGTTCTCCAGTGTACTTGAGGTCTGTAGCCTACCCCTCTGACGGCCCTCACTTCCTGGGGCACACTTACTGTGTGGACTACATGGATGCGGAAGGAGGCGTGCGTGTGGAGCTGGTGTGGATCGAAGAGACGGAAGAATTCTTCATCGTCAGCCTGGTCCTTTACCTCAGTGTAGCAAAAATAAACCATTGGTTTGGGACGAAATACTGAGTCTTAGCAGTAGGTGGCAAAATTTTGTTACTAGTGAGCTTTTTTTTTGTTTTGTTTTGTTTTGTTTTTTACAACTTTGTTTCTATTGAAAGTTAAAATAAAGCATATCCATGGCGGTCTGTCTGGTGCCTTCTTATTTTCCATTAGAAACTGTGGCTTGTGAGTATAGGTAGTGTTTGGAAGATTAAAATTTGAATAGAGCATGCTCCAGTGAAGATTCTTGTAGGACCACAACAGACAAAATGCTTGGTTGAAACATGGTCATGTGGCCTGTGTAAATGCATGCATATCAGGAAAGAGCAAATGTGACCTCATCTGGGACTCAGGTTAGGAGGTTCTGAAGGAACAGCTGTGGGAGCTGAGGGGCTGTAGATTAGACCACGGTCTTACCAGTACTCACTCCTGGTTCTAGTACCAAATTCCATGTGGCATCATAAAGAGTGAAGGGCAAGCAGGGAATCTTTTTTTTTTTTTTTTTTCGAGACAGGGTTTCTCTGTATTGTTTTCGAGGCTGTCGGTCCAGCCTGGCCTCGAACTCACAGAGATCCGCCTGCCTCTGCCTCCCGAGTGCTGGGATTAAAGGCGTGTGCCACCATCGCCCGGCCGCAAGCAGGGAATCTTTGCCCTACTTTTTGCAACTTAAAAAAATATGTAATTACTCCCAGATGAAAAGTTAACAGTAAAAGCTAACACCGTCGCTCACCTCCTGTCCTCTGTCTTAGTTAGGTTCACTCGCCTGCTTGCCTTGACCACAGTCTTCCTACTGGAGTTTTGCTGTCTGCCGTTAGCAGCTAGCTAGAACTATGCTGAGGAAACACAGCTGCAGTCAGCTTGCCACACCGTGGCACTGGGGCACTGCATTGCCTTGTGATATCCGAGTATTACATGGGAATATTGGAGACACCTGAGTAGCCCGTGTGACATGGGAGGTCGTCTCTGGGCTTCCTCCCCCTTCATGCGACATTTTCTTTCACAGCCCTGGCTCGGGGTTCAGAGATTATCCAACCTTTGCTGTGGTCACTGCCTGGGACAGAGAAACTGAAACCTGGTCTCACTGGGCTGGGAAGGGGTCAGCATGTTCAGATAGACCCATACTTCACTCTTTAGATCAGAGGCCCTTGGGCATTTTGCTTTGTTTTGGATATAAATATATTTGTTATTACATATAGCTATATTTATGTGGATATATTCATAGGAATATAATAATATATTTTTCCTCTTTCTGCCTCTGTTTAGCCAAAGTAAGTGAGCTCTCTGTAGCACACTAACTGGGCCTTACCATGTGGTGCCATCTTTGATGTCAGGATATTGTGTGGGACCCTATCTATGCTGAGTAGAACCTCTGAGATAATTCCTCTTTTTATATATTACCCAGTCTTGGGTATTTTATTATAGCAACAAATGTGCTGAGACACTATGTGATTATTATATGTATTGAAACCAAGTTTTCATATACACAAAAAAGCATTTCATAATCATACTGCTTTGTCAAGAAGAAAGCCCTTTGCTTGCAAAGCCAGAGGATTGATTATGGTGGGGCATCTTGAATACAGAGAGCACTACGAAACAGGGCTCATTAAGTTGAATCAATTTAAGAAAAGTAACAGGTGCAAATTCTTAATTATTCAGTTGGCAGTGAAAACAGGTTTGAGTTACACACCAGAAAAGTATATCCATCCCTAGTGGGAGATAAAAGGTATTTAAAGTGTGCTCAGATGCAAAATACTGTCTGGCTTGAAATGTGGTCAAAGATCTGACCACCTTTTGCCAAGATATTTTATATAAGCAACCTGATGGCTGTCTCTTATTTTTAATAAGGTCTGCTTATAAACCTAATAATTATAAGCATTCAAAAAGCAAAGTGCTTAAATGGAAAAGCCTATGTGAAATATTTCCCTGATGCTTGTAAAGGAATTGTGCCTGCATCAAGATGGTCTGGAGACAATAGTGCATTTTGGTATTGGGATAACATCACTCGGTCTTCAGCCTGGAGAGCCTTCTTGGGTTTCCCATGACTTTAAGGAATATCATTCGGATTTCTTTGGCTGTAGTCGACATGACTTAGATTGCTGTTGAACAGCTGGGAGCTGCAGAAGCCATGGGCAGAAAGGCACATGCAGTGGGTACTACCCAGCAGGATACCAGGAGGGTTAGGCCCAAAGAACAAGCAGTAGGGAGCCTAGGAAATGAACTGTTTAGGCGAATGCGACACTAGAACCCTGAATAGTGGACCTCATGTGTCCACGATGGCTGTAGCACGAAGCCAAGACTAGGCTGGTCATGGGCAAAACAGGTTGAAGGCACAGCTGCCAACTGAGCGGGCCCTTGGTCGGTCAGTCAGTGAGTGCCAGTATTCAGGCCCAGATATGAGCTGGGCAGCACAGTACCGCTCTCCTTCCGGAATTCATGTGTAGAGGAGAACGCATAGGCAGGGAATGCTAGGAGGCTGACGAGGTGTCCATGGAATCAGTCAAAAGACCTTGCATGGTGAGGTCGGGTCCTTGGCCCATCCATCCAGGGGTTTACTCAATGCTTGCTTTACCCTCTGGTTTCTGGATGATCATGAAAAGGACTCTTGAATTTGACCAGAGGCATGTTTGCTGATGGACATATGTGCTTGCCATAGCAAAACGAGAAACACTCATCTCTTTAGGTCTAATCATGAAAAGTGCTCTCAGGATTAAGATGAAACACAGGTGATTTCTTGCTGACAAGTTTGGCTGGGGATAAAGTGAAAATCTCACCATGAAATAATAGTAACTTCCCATGGTAATGATCGAGAGCTCATTTGAGTGCCAGGCACCATGTGAGAGCATTACAGCTTTAATGATCTCCCTAAACCTTACAGGGGAAATGGTATAATAATGACATTTCACCACAAGGAGCCGAGCTGGGGAGTTAAATAACCAGGAGAGAAGGGCACATCTGGTGGTGAGAGTTGGGATCTCCCTCGTCCAGAAGCATAGGCCTTATCACTAAACCAAGCTTTCTGTCTGCTCTGGTGCCTGGGGGCCAAAGATCTGTCCTGAACATTTACCATGAAAGGAACTGTAAGTCTATAAGTATTTAGCAGTGTTAAAAGTGTCGTGAAGCTAACTGAGTAATAAAATTGTTAACACAGAACTGAGAATATCCAAGTCTATGAATAAGTACCAGGTAACAAAAGTCTGCGTTTCCCTCTAAGTAAGAGACCTGCAAATAGACAGAGCAGAGCTCAGGATGGACACAGATGATTGTGACAAAGGTGAGATACTTTTAAATAGATGGCATGGGATTGGTTGTAGCAACATCTGGCAGGAGGAACACCTGCTTCACGCCATGCCCGAAGGCATATTCCAGGTCAATTATGGACCCAAATGTGTAAGGCAAAGTAAGAAAGCACCAAGATGATAACGTGGGCAGTCTCCAACTCTGCGGTGAAAAGACCAATTGCCTGAACAAAAGGTGATCAAAGCGGCCACGGAGACCGCTCAGTGGGTGAAGTGCTTCCTGCCCAAGCGTGAGACCTCTAATGACAGCCCTTGCTGGAATATTTCTCTTCACACTGGGCCAACCCAGAAACAGCAGCTGCCTCTCAGAAACTTTCAGAAGCTACGGTTCAGCAGTCGAATTTCCTGCTGCAGGTACATAAAGATTTCTAATTGCACCTGGTGCTACCTCAGCTTGCAAAGGAGAACCCGAGGCGGGTTCTAGGGCATCGAGAAGCAGCTGTTCATCTCCATGCATTCCCTTCAGGGCCTCATAGTGAAGGAAAGCCTTAGCCTGGGAAAACAGAAGAGTAGTTTGCCTCTCCCATCTCACACAAAGATGTTCTCTGTGGTCCTCATTAGTAAAATTTAGTCACTGAATAAACAAAACTTCGCATAGGAACATGAGACCTGGACAAAGGATCGTTGCTTAAGCATATGCTCAATGGAAAATATTAATTGACGAAATTGATACAGATCAAATAAGTTAACCACATCTGCATTGTAAAATTTACATTTTGTATATTTAATAGCTTAAAATACATATTACAATAATATATGTATATTTTATATATAATACAGACAAGCTATTATGTGGTCTAGGAACCAGGTCAAAGAATTATGTTGGTTTAATGGTATTTAATGTTGTTATGATTGTGAGAAAGATGTTTTATTGATAAATAGCCTAAACATTCTCAGGATTGAAATGGTGGGGTTAAGAATTACTGAACTCCTTGTATTTATTTGAAATGCCAAGTACTTCTTAAGTGTAGTGCACTTTAAGCTAAATAAAAATTGAATATTTTTCAATAGGGTAATAACCAAATAAATGCAATTGGATCTGTTGATGTCATATCATTATGAATTTTTTTACTTGTAATCCTACTACTGTTACTATAATGTGATAAACTATTTAAAATCAGACATTTAGCTCATGCCTATATTAACTGTATTACTGAATTCTGGTGTGACTGAACTGAGGGGCAGACAGTAAGAGTTGTTGAATTTGTTCACTTACAGCAGGAACTCCAGGAATTCCTAGTTCCCCGGCTCTCGTGCTTTTCTGGGACAAACAGATCTTTCTGCATTTAGGTTAAGAACTGTGGTTGTCATGGAGCGAGGTCTTCAGTGGTGATCTGCTTGTATATTTACAAATCGCACCTCCCTGCTTTCCTGCAACAAGACACCGCCTTTCTGTAAGGAGATTCTGTTGGCCACCATTCTACCACCTAATTGATAATTTCCCCTATTTCTGGTGCCCTTTAAGAGGTAGATGGTCATTCGGGAGAACTCTGTGCCTGATGAGGGACCAGAGGGGCTGCACTCACATTTCTGTTTACCGCTTGCTCCATCTTCAGCAATGGCGGCCCATGCCATGCTGATGTTAGAGTTGTAGTGTTTGCTCTTCCCAAGGAGATCATGGAAGTTCTCACAGCTCTTTTTTGGGAAGAAGTCCCTGGGTACTGAAACATATTTCATGCAGGTAAAAAAGCCTCCATGCTAGCATTAGAAGTTTGTGAACAGCCCAGCTATTGGAGCAGGTCACCTATGCAGACCCTGGGTTTCTGGGTTCTTTATGGGTTCAATAAACTAGGGGGCATTGGTCAGGGTTCTCTAGAGTAACATGATTTATAGAAAACACACACACACAG